AGATATCCGCCATAAAAGACAATCGGAACAACCAAGTTTTATCATACAAACGGTCCTTCAAATTAAAAGAAGTATCTGCTGAAAGAAACATTTGTAACTCGGCTCTAAGTTCAAATAGCCTTGTTAAAGTTTTTCCCCGAGACAGCCATCGCACTTCTGTATGGAGCAGCAGTGTTTTATGTTTGCTGCCATAATCTTCACACAATAATGAGAACAATCGGGATTGTAGTGGTCGTGATTTGATAAAATTAATTATTTTTACCGCTTCATCCATAACTAATTTTAGATTAGACGGCAATTGCTTCATCGCAAGTGCTTGTCTATGCAGAATACAATGACTGGAACTACAATTAGGCGCTTTATTTTTCATTCGTGACACTGCTCCTGCTGTTTTACCTGTCATCGCCTTGGCCCCATCTGTACAAATGTCAATGCAATTGTTCCAACTGAGATTATGTTCTTCAAAAAATATATTTATTTTATTAAAAATTTCTTCCCCGGTAGTGTTTGTAAGCAGCGATGAACACATAAGCATGTCTTCTTCAAAAGAACTTTTATATGGATATCTCACAATAACCAGCAGGATAGCCAAACCAGCGACATCAGTCGACTCGTCCATTTGCAAAGCGAATCGTGTATTTTGTAGACGTGTAACTAGTTCTTGTTTGACGTAGCTTGCCAGATCATGGATTCGTCGTGAAACAGTATCGTTTGATAGCGGAACAGTAGAAAGATGCTTTGCAGATTTTTCATCAAGCATACATTTTGTTATGTCTAATACACATGGTTTTATTAATTTCTCAGCGATAGTGTGCGCTTCACCTGCTTGTGCAATGCGATAGCTAACTAAGTATGATGCCTCCGTGGCCTTTTCGTTGGTAGTTTGTGTTACATGCATCATATTTTTTTGACTTTCTAATAACTGATCTTTTTTGCGAACAAAAAATTCTTTATTCTTGTCTTTAGTCTCGGGGTGTACGGTTTCTAAATGTCGACGCAATTTGGCAGGTGCCATGGAACTATTAGGAAGCAGTTTACTACAGAGCATGCAGAGAGGTGAGCCGTTGGAATCAACAAATCCGAAACTGATATAAGATTCATCATACTTCCTTTTTTTCGTCTTTGAAACCGTCGAGCTTGACGTCGTGGCACTCGTGGCATCATCTTCTGGATCGGTGATTGCTAAATTCTCCGCGCGCATTGCTTTTGAACATTCAGCGTCATTAGAAGATGTTGTTGGAACACGTTTAACACCTTTAAGCCAACGTTCCATTCTTCTTTATTTATAATGTTACAAGTCAGGATAGTGGGGTTTAAATAATGCACAATCGTTACTGCGTATAAGAGACTAAATTTAGAACCTACAGGGAAGAAATGTATAAAACTGAGACAACAGAATACAGCAGGCAGTAAAACAATGAACACCAGTTTCTCGCTAGCGAGCTTGTAAGTAGGTAGTAACTTATCGCTCCGAACGCTAATCATCAACTGACGACGCCAACGCGCGATCGCCGCTTTTATACTTAGTCCTAGACTCGATCTCAAATATTCTCGAAAATACTCGAGTCGGCACCTTTGATAAACAAAAAGCAAAAATAAAAACAGAAATTTAAAAATAGCGTTGTAAACAATATCGACTTTATCCTTTGAAGTTAGAGACGAAAGTCGCTAGTTGACAACTATAGCGTCTAATTCAGAGGCGGCTTTTATCAAAGAGACTGAGCGCTTACAAGTATACTACCCGCTCGTTTTAAGTTTGCCGCTGGCGATAGGTATGAGTGTATGACGTTCGAAATTTTTTATTTAATTGTAACAATAAAAATTGTGTACGTTAGATATTTGGGTAAAACTATGACACATTATAAGTTTTGTTGTCACGTGGGGGAGGGTACGCGCATTCCACAGACCGGCAAACTTAGAGCGAACGCGTTGTACAAGTATAAAATTGTTGAGACCAAACTTATGAGATATTGTACCAGCTAATGTAACACAAGCTTATACAAATACAAATAAATAAATAAATAACATTCATAGCGTTTTGTCTCCGCGCGGCCGCGGAGTCCGCACAGCCGCGGAGCGACCAGAGAGAGGTGTTTTGATTTTTTTATTTCTAAATTCTTGCGGAACCCCGACAGAGGTATCACGGAACCCTAGGGTTCCGCGGAACACACTTAGAGTATAGCTGTTCTAGGGTGTACCATCCTAGGCCTCATCATCGCTTTCCATCAGGTGAGATTGTGGTCAAACGCATTGCCTATTTTGCATAAAAAAAGAAAAAAAAATTACATAACTTTTCTTAAACACTGTTACGTATTAAATTCTTGTTTCTAACCGAAAACGCTGACGATAAACTTCAAATTTGAATTATTCGCATATTTAAATTGTTCACTTGAGAACATAAACGGGTAGTTATAATGGCAACCGGAACATATTCCATACTTTCTATCGAGCGTGTCGAGTACTTTTCTCACATTACAAACTGCGTAAACTATGTCTCAACGATTACAATTGCAATTATAAAAAGATTTCGAGTAATATTTAAGACAGTTCGGTATATTTTAACGATACCAAATTATTTCTCTTAATGTTTCAGTTCACACGACACGGTTTTGGCTTATTTCCTTCGGTTTAATTGAACGGGTCGCCCGCTTTCGTGATATATATATATTTTAATGAACATAGAAAAAAGCTGTTTCATTCGTCATCTAGCACGGCTTTCTAATTTTAAAACAATTCGGTCGAATTTATATTTTTCTTAATTACAGATAACCCGTTTCTTCTTAGTGCTATACGTATCGCGTGGTTAAATTTAACAAGGCTTTCGCTATTTATGTAACCACGCATTATACACCTGTACTTTTTATTTGTACACAATCAGCATCATCATCATCAGTAACATCAACATCATCGAAGTTGCATTAGTGACACAGGAGAGTCACATATCACCTTGTGCTTCCACGGCTATAAGTATAGGACTATTACAGAAAACAAGTTTTAGATATTACCTACCTGTCACATTTTAAATACAGCCAAAGCCATGTGTAGCGTCGTTGGACAGATATCCTCATATTATTTCTATGTCTCGTTGTATCGCCTTCTTGATACGCTGCCAACCCTTCCAATAATTACCTGAACTATATAAGTACTCAAAAATTATTGACGTTCATATCTATCTATTTCAGTCCGCTCGCAGTGTCGATCCGGCGACTCGTAGGTGGTGATGCTGCAAAGATTTGTCATCTGCTGCATTACGTAATACGTGATTTGTGGAGCACTCAATTGGACGTGACCGATCAGTGTCTCTATTGGCAATGACTCACGGACTCCGATTTCGTGACACAAATTGGTGCTGGCCATCACTATTCTTCGTCTACATGTACATGATTCCGAAAAGTTTCAATAGAATTTATTTGTTTTGATTCAACTAACTGTTCGAATTTCAAATCGCCACGAATATCTATGTTCACAAAATATTACAAAAGAAAAAAAATAATTCGTGGAACAGGAAAAGATTATGATTCCTAGTTTAAAAAAACTATTCGTCACGTTAGCTCTTTTGAATAACGCTCACGCACAAGGTAACATTGAGAAATCTAAACGCTTGTTTGTTGGAAAATTACGAGAAAATGATAATTTTGAAAGCAAAATGATCACCAATTACTACAATTATAATCTAATCGACGTTTTAAGATCTACACTAAGTATACATATAATCAGGCACTATAGACAAAACGCCTGTTACGATTTCACCACTCACTGCACAGATTGCGGCAACGAATCCGACCATCGACAAATGAAGTGGTAGGCTCGATAAGGCTTTAATTACGAAAAAATCACCGCCATTAATCCAAATATCTTTGGTTTCATCGGACGCACTCGCGTGCGTGCGTTACGCACCGTTCACACGGGAAAGGCTACATTGTCTTATAAATATTTTTAATTTCTAATTTCTGAAATTTATTCCTTTGTTAATTATCATGTTTTTAATATTTATCCGACTAAACAGTTTGATTACCCTCATCTTTGAATCACAAAAATGGTAACGTATACCGCTAATTAATTAATGTTTCGAAAATGTTTAATGTATTAATGTTAAAGTAAACTGTTGTTTTACTTTTTGGCAGTCGACTTTTTTTATTACGAAACGCAATGACAAATGCTTTTACGTGCAATACCTTTATTGAGCTCGCAAGAGAGCGATATCTAAAAAATATCCTTGTGTTTTATCTGTAGTTAAACTTATGCTTATTAGTTAGCTGTTACTTACGGCAGCTCATTAATTTTACTTAATTTGTCTCAAGCTATGTTCTCAAGTGTCATAGGTAATTCAAGTATAATGATAGTAATTTTGTTCACACGAAAATCATTTAAATCAACTACCGTTTTTTATAATGATAAAACTGTAACAGATGCTATTAACATAGCGCATACTCACGTCATACATCACCGATATCAGTACGTAATTGTCAAGCTTAATAAAACAGCTTATGCCAATTCGGCCGATGCAACAATCGGACGTCCGGCCAGATCGGATGATAGCCCCACAATGGGCAGGAAGTCCCACAACGCTTTATAAAACTATGGGAACGATAATTAGATTACGCTAATGAATTATTGTCAGCCCGTCCGTTGATCGTTGGCAAAACGGTAGCTCTACCGATTGAACGTATCACAGTTTGAATGAGATTACAACATTTATTTTGCAGTTTTGAATTCATAATTCAATATAATACTCCACATATTTTATTCAAATATTACGCAGTTTCAAATTTGGAATCGAATAAAAGACTTCGTAATTTTAAATTTGAAACTTAATGACCGAACAAAAAATCAAAAATATAAACAAAAGTTGCTTGGTTGATTAATGTAGGTAATGTTTAACATTCTGAATTCAAATCTAAAATTTTAAATTACAACATTGTAACTAATGTTCGATATTTAAATTTAGCAAACACCTTTTTTATTGTGAAGTTTCAAAATGGGATTTCCTTTTGTTACAGAGAGCCACGCTGGCCGAGAAAGAGGTGACCACGCTCAAAGAGCAGCTGGCGAGCACCAGTCCCACGCCACTGCAGGCAGCCGTCCCAAAGACCAATGGCTCCCATCTAGAACCCACCCGGGACCAGGCGACGGAGACCAGGATCCCCGACATCTTCGACGTTAAGGAGGAGAAGAGAAGAACGCCCGAAATTGATGAGGAGGTAGAGCAGAAGATGGAGATGGCCGCGATCGGGCGGAGCAACAGCAACTCCTCGCGGAGTAGCCCCGTGCTGCAGCACGCAGGCAATCTGGAGACGGAGCTCGCTGCCAAAGAGAAAGAGGTAATAATAAATTATATCTATATTTGATGTACTAAACTAAAGTTATCAACTTCTGCTAATATATGCATATCATGCATTCCCAGTGAGCAGTGTTACCAGATCTGATTTAAAAAATCTGGAGGCGTTCTAGAAAAAAGCAGTAGGTATATACAACAATACGTACGTACAACAACACAACCTACAAGAAAAACAGTAAATGCAGAGGTGAACTCTTTCCGATTTACCCCCCCGTAAATGCTAGTGAGGGTTGATTGGTAGATGCTACACTACAGTTGCAGTCGGAGCCGACCTTATTGTATCTTCCGAACCATGACGGAGCACAAAAGAATTCACTTTTGGTGAACCATACTTTGCAGAACATATTTATTATTACTTCAATATGAAAAATATAAGAGTAAAGTCTATACAAAAGTTTGGACAATCATTGATAGCGATAGATTACGTAAATAGATCGATATATCCGTCTGCGGCGGTCCCCTAGCAATAACCGAGAGTTATGAAGCTGAGGTCACTCGGTTAACTGGTTAGAAAATTACAGTTAAAGGATGCAATAGCCTTGTAGTTAACTGGGCATGCGCGCAAGTCATCTCGTATCGAATGTAACGTACGATCAATAAATCAATTACATGTGCGGGGGCATCGCTGAATTGGATTTGACAGTTGGCTAGATCTAGTGGTGCGCTCGCTTACGGTAAATAATCGATAGATTTGGTGTGACGTCATGTGATTACAGGAGCTGATTCTATTTTAATTAATTATTGAAACAGTAATCATGTATCAAACTAAGACTAAAGTGCTTTTTTTGATACTTGTTTAGTAAGCTCTGTCATTTGATAATATCAAATATAATCATTAAAAAATAAACGCAAATATCTTCATTTAACTAAAAAAAAGTAACTCTCCTCTGAAATCAAAGGCAGCAAAATCAGAATTGAGTTGAGTAGTAAATATAGAGCGTGAAGCTGTAAGTGACAGTTAATCTAAATATTTTAAAAACCTAATCGATACTATTCACCGAAACTCTACAAATTTTATAGAGAACATTACAGATACGATAATTTAAGCTAATCGATATCGATGTATCGAGTCGATCGGATAGGGGCGCACTATCTGGGGGAAACAGGATACGTTCAATGGGATGATTGATCGGCACCAAACGAACGGTAATCCTTGCACTAAATAAATATCATACTTTATGAGCTTACTTAACTTCGGAATTCTGTGCTACGATACTGTATCGTGATGATTATCAATGAAAAGTTTGGTAAAGAACAAGATACCGGGCTTTCATTTTATTTTCGGGTTTTCGTAATTAAGGTGAGATTTGTATTTTTTTTTTCTATACATTCTGGATTTAGTAATTGTAAAGAATATTTGCTTTGTCAAAAATAATAAAAATAATACAATCGTGTCTATACTATTAATACAAATTAACTGCACACTGCAGTTCCTACTGGCAAGCCTTTTTGATCTATGGTCGAGCGCAAAAATTAATTGAGATTATATTATTTAAAAATAAGCATCATTAGCATCCCGCCACCTTAATTAATGATACTATTTAGAATACATTCTTTTCTTTTCCTTTCTATAAAAATATTAATGATCAGTTCTTTGATGATTGTAGATTATTATATTTCCAACACTCACACCAATTAGCCTAGCCCCAAGGTAAGCACTGTAAGGCTTGTGTATGGGATGCTAGGGTAACGGATAGAATACATATATTGTACATATATAAGTATATTTATATAGAAATACATATTAAACACCCATGACTGGAGTACAATATTCATCACACAAACATCTGCTCCCACCGGGATTCGAGTCGGCGACACCATGAAACCCGGCGTAGAAACCATTCGGCCACGGAGGTCGTCGTTCAAATAAGTTTTTGATAGTAATTAATTGTACTTTTCTCAACATGCGTCATTAATAGAAAAAACATAGTTTTTTTTTTGTAAATTAACGAGACGGAAAATCTATACTTTGATACATCATGTTACAACAAAAACATATTTCTGATAACGTAGCAATTAATATAAACTAGTTCATTCAATCTAATTCATAGAATTAGGCGTTTGAAGTTGCGCATTTTATCGTTTTTTTCCGTAAACAAGGTGCGGTAAAACCGATGTTCTACAAAAAAATGATAATAACATTTGCAAATATTCTACATCAATTTACAATAAGAAAGGTAAATCTACTTCTTCTTGCAACGGCCATTTCCGCAACTCGACCGACGTCCTTATGGCGTCTGTTTTGCGTTAAGAGAATGTGTTGCCGGAGTCTCTCCAGCCATCCCAGCTCCGTCAGGAACTCCCCCAAGGCCTTTCGACGCGGCTAATAGGGCCGTGGTAGCATAATGGTCAGTGCATTCGCCCGGATAGCGAAGGATGCGGGTTCGAGTCCCGTCCGCTGCCTGGTCCGCGTGGATTTTTTTCTAATAAACTTTTCTTTAGATTTAAACATCTAGCAGTTAAATGCTTAAAAAATAAATAAAATCATAATTATGATTCATTGCAAATAATTTTGAAGGGCTCCTAATGTATAATTATGTTAAAAAAGTCATAATTATTTTCGTCTGACCACGTTCTGAGATCAGAGAGGAGATTTTTACCTGACGACTTCGATCTTAATTGGCATTGGCAACAGATCAGAGATACACAACTCGTCAATTAGTTCCGAAGTTTGAGCCAAATGGATTGTCTGTCATTGCTTATGGCGATACGTGTTCTACTGTCCATTACATTTTAAGTGTCGCGATCGACCGAAAAAAAAGGCCAAAGATTATTTGAAACACATCCAGATGAGAATAAGGAGCCGCAATGGAATTTCACACCAGTGCGACCAAGATATTGTAGCGCGTGCCCAAATTGAAAGTAATTTTAGGAATGTATAAAAAAGCCTCTTATGTATAGAGGAATGTGTGAATAAGCCTTTTACGTTTCTTATTTGAATTGAGAAGCTCGATGGCGCGGGATTGTAGTTAAGCAACTTTCGCAGTGGTCGGTCATTGGATGGGTGACCGAAATTTTTCTATTTATCGATCATGATCAAATGTTCCTCCGTGCTTCGGAAGGCACTTTAAGTCGGTCCCGGCTACATCTGCAGTTGCACCTGCCAATCCGCACTGGGCACGCGTGGTAGGTTATGACCCAATCTCCCTATTCCATTCATAGGGAAGGCCTGTGCCCTAGCAATGGGGACATTAATAGTCTGATGATGATGATGACTTCTTATTACTCTTTCCTGTTCCCTTTAGTGAGGAGATTTTATGTTCTCCTCATTTAGCCATTTAGCCCTCCTGTCAATGTCATGTAAGTGTCACAAGATCTTGATCGCATCCCACCGTTTATGTGGCCGAGCTACTGATATGCATTCAATCAATTTTACTCTCGTGTAACGTTTCGTTGCTTCCGCTCGACGCTTCGCGCTATCAAACAAAGCGTTTAGCAGTTCCATTAAGAGAAACAAAACGGCAGCCCATCAGTTTGTTAACGCCGATCAATCAATCAATATTATCGATAGGCTCAATTAAAATCAACTCGTGCGCGCAGAGGCGGCGAGGCGTCTGAACCAATTTATCTATTTATTTATCATTATAAGCGTAAAGCATCAACTCCTACGCACAAATCTACAGAGGTCGGATGTCGTTGAACTTCGACAATATCCTAATGATAAATAGCAATGCGAGCAATTTTTAAATTACGAAATGATGTAGGTTTAAATCGGGATAATAGATTCAGTCGGTTCGAATTTCGAATAAAACAAATACACTATACGTTTAAAAATGGAACTATGGTTATTTTGTATTTAAAATTTTAAAAAAGGAACGCTTGTTTCGGCATAAACTACTGTATTAAAGTAAAGAGCACGCCCGAAAATAAAAAATCGAAAAAAGAATCGCACAGCAGCTATTTCAAGTACTTTTTCCACATCACGGCGTAATTTGAAATGGGAGTCGAAATTTGAAAGACGGGTTGGTAGTAACAAGTGTGTTCTTTGAAAATGTACCATTCAGCCTTCTGAATCATTAGTCCATTGAATCGCCGAAATGCAACGAGCGTATACCAAAAACGAAATTTTCTCGTTTTTGTTTCGCATTCAATATATTTTTTGAATAGTTGAATATTGCGCGCGATGTACACAGTTTACGGAGTTACAGGAAAGCCTTAAAACTTTTGTTAGATACGAGTATGTTATTTATCACTCTGGAAGGCTTAATTTTCATCTTGTAAGATTCAATTGATTTGGTAAATAATTACAAGAAATAAAAAAAAAAAATTAATTTCCAACACTCACAGCACCAATTAGCCTAGCCCTAAAGTAAGCACTGTAGGCGTGTGTTATGGGATACTAGGGTAACGGATAGAATACATATAGTAATACATATATTTATAAAGAAATACCTATTAAACATCCATGACTGGAGTAGAGATGCTCGAATTCATCACACAAACATCTGCCCCCACCGGGATTCAAACACGGGAGCTCTCGAGTAGGCGACACCTTGAAACGAACCACTCGGCCATGGAGGTCGTCAATATAAATAGTTCATAATTAAGAAGAAATATATGGTGAGTTGATATAATGCCTTCAATCAGTTCAGCTAAATGAATTTAAACACATAAATCCGATGGTGCTCCCTTAGAAATTCTTAAACAGTGTCGAAACTCCATTGAGTTCGGAAATAAAAGCTGTTATTTAGCGTTCGTAACGAACGCCTTTGTGTACGGAACTGAAATACCTGCACCTACTATCTCCGGTGAACTTTGCAGCAGTTTATAATGCAACGCCGCTTTTGCATAAGTCGGTGCATTCCAAGAATGCGATCGTACAGCAATGCAAACACAGCACAACGATATCTCGTGGTATTTCGCAAAACTGAAAACGGGTAGACGATTCGATAAAGTTTCGTAAGGTGTACTTTTTGCGACAGTTTTCTGAGTAAACCCATTACTTTTCTCAACCTTGTTACTAGCATTAGCTTTTGAGAAAGT